GGTGAAAACAAAATGAATTTTTAAAACGAATAAATAAATGGAAGCCGAATTCAGGATTATTGGGGGACGGCAGTATTTTAGACAACTTGTGAAAATAGAAATGTATTATATCGTGTGAGACAATAAAAAGGCTGAAAACTGCAAAAGTTGATGATAATAAAATTAAAAAATACATTTTTTTTTTAAATAAAACGTTACATAGTTAGTCTGGCTGAAAAAAAAAGAGAAAAGTCCATCCCGTTCAACCATTAAAATGTAAAAAAAAAATTTAAATAAAATGTTACAGAGTTAGTCTGGCTGAAAAAAAGACAAAAGTCCATCCAGTGCAACCACTAAACCATTAAAATGTAAAAAAAAAAAAAAAAAAAAAAAGGGAATAAAATGCAATGGTGAGCTTTTGTATGACCTTTTGGACAGGTTCTCCTTAATCCTGCAAGCATGGGTGCAATTCACTGGAACCCACCTGGTGGAAGTGTCCTAAAACTAGACTTAGGCCTTGGAAGTGTGAGAGAAATGGCCAGATGAAGGATGATAGCCTAAACTCAACTTAGAACCTGGGAAACCAAGGACAATGGTGAGCTTTTGTATGACCTTTTGGACAAGTTCTCCTTACTCATGCAAGCATGGGCGCAATCCACTGGGACCCACCTGGTGGAAGTGTCCTAAAACTAGACTTAGGCCTTGGAAGTGTGAGAGAAGTGGGCAGATGAAGGATGATAGACTATCATTCTGTGTAATCATCTGCACAAAACTCAACTCTCAGAGCCTAGGACACCAAGGACAATGATGCACTTTTGTATGACCTGTTGGTCAAGCTCTCCTTAATCCTGCAAGCATGGATGCGATTCAATGGGACCCACCTGGTGGAAGTGTCCTAAAACTAGATTTAGGCCTTGGATGTGTGAGAGAAGTGGTCAGATGAAGGATGATAGCCTATCATTCATCTGCACATTACTCAATGTCCCACATCTGGTATTGGGAAGCAAAGAACCCCAGCAGAAGGGGAAAGGGTGGAAATGGCCCCTGATCCCGTGGACGTCATGGTGGAGGCTTAGTCAAGTATGGGAGGAGGAAGCCCTTCAAAGGGGAGAATACAGCAGAGACCTTAGACCCCAGCATGGAAACATGAGGTAGCTGGCATCATAGGTGCAGGGCCAATATGTGCAATTAAGCTTCAGGGGCCTGCTGGGAGCTTCACACTAGTGGCTGCTATTCCAGCTATGGCTGTCCACACCTACCTGACATCTTATTCTGGGGACAGTGAGGATGGTCAGAAAATCCTGGGTACTGCAACTCCACTACGTGAGCAGCTCAGACAACAAGGATTCAGATGTGGAGCAGCAAATGAGGGAGCAGCAATGATCGTCATTGCTTTGGTAAGTCCACCAAAACCCTGATAAAGAAGCCCACCTGTAAAGGTTGGCAGCATGCATGGGAGATCTCTCTGCTGCCCATCCAAGCAGCCAAGGTGTTTCCAATCACCTCCACCATGACCTTTTTCTCCTGCCAGACAGTGGATGCATCTGAGGCGTTCTTCCACCTCTCCATGGGAGGTCATTAGGTTACCATTACTACCCTGGTGGTCTGTGAGCCGTGTACAGAGCAGGTATTTCCAAAACCAAAAAAAACCTTTGAGAAACTTTCTAGAAGCCCTCTCAGAACATCGGCTTTCTTCCACCTCTGCAGGCAGGAGGTACAGAGAGGGAACACAGGGTGTCACTTGGAAGCAAGTATTCTCCATGGGAGGTAATTAGGTTACCACTCCTCCCCTGCTGGTCTGTGAGCCGTGTACAGAGCAGGTATTTCCAAAAACCTTTGAGAAACCTTCTAGAAGCCCTCTCAGAACATCGGATGCATCTGAGGCTCTCTTCCACGTCTGCAGGCAGGAGGTACAGAGAGGGAATACTGGGTGTCAGTTGGAAGTGAGTAGTCTCCATGGGAGGTCATTAGGTTACCACTCCTCCCCTGCTGGTCTGTGAGCCCTGTACAGAGCAGGTATTTCCAAAAACCTTTGAGAAACCTTCTAGAAGCCCTCTCAGAACATCAGATGCATCTGAAACTCTCTTCCACCTCTGCAGGCAGGATGTACAGAGAGGGAACACTGGGTGTCACCTGGAAGTGAGTAGTCTCCATGGGAGGTCATTAGGTTACCACTCCTCCTCTGGTGGTCTGCGAGCCATGTACAGAGCAGGTATTTCTAAAACCAAAAAAAAACCTTTGAGAAATGTTCTAGAAGCCCTCTCAGAACATCGGATGCATCTGAGGCTTTCTTCCCCCTCTGCAGGCAGGAGGTACATAGAGGGAACACTGGGTGTCAGTTGGAAGCGAGTAGACTCCATGGGAGGTCATTAGGTTACCACTCCCACCCTGGTGGTCTTTGAGCCATGTACAGAGCAGGTATTTCCAAAACCAAAAAAGAAAAACCTTTGGGAAACTTTCTAGAAGCCCTCTCAGAACATCGGCTTTCTTCCACCTCTGCAGGCAGGGTGTACATAGAGGGAACACTGGGTGTCAGCTGGAAGGGAGTAGTCTCCATGGGAGGTCATTAGGTTACCACTCCTCCCCTGGTGGTCTGTGAGCCCTGTACAGAGCAGGTATTTCTAAAAACCTTTGAGAAACCTTCTAGAAGCCCTCTCAGAACATCGGATGCATCTGAGGCTCTCTTCCACCTCTGTAGGCAGGAGGTACAGAGAGGGAACACTGGGTGTCAGTTGGAAGTGATTAGTTTCCATGGGAGGTTATTAGGTTACCACTCCTCCCCTGGTGGTCTGAGAGCCGTGTACAGAGCAGGTATTTCCAAAAAACCTTTGAGAAACCTTCTAGAAGCCCTCTCAGAACCTTCAGCTCTGGTGGTTCCCAATGCAGATCCTACTGGGAGTGCTGCCCCGATCTATAAACATAGTAAAATCCAGTACTTCGTGAGGCTTCCTAAAAGCTTCTCTAACCCTACTGAGATAGGGCGGTGGTCTTGGTAAGCACTCTAAGACTAGAACTGAAGGGCATGGGTCCATTCTATGGGATCAGGTCTCATAACCCCCATCATTCCTGGAGGTGCTGGGTATTCTCACTGACTATGAAAAGGTAGGACCTGTGGGGGAAGCACATCTAAGGTCCTCCAAAATCTTTCTTGGGGACGGCCCCCCAGCTGTTGCCAAACTACAAGTCCCACAAGGCAATGCAAGATTGACAGTTACAAGCATGACTCCCAAAGGCAGAGGCATGATGGGACTTGTAGTTGCGCAACAGCTGGAGGGCCGCCGGTTGGACACCCCTGAGCCCTGCAGGGCCTTAGTCAAGCTAGGTTGAAAGGCGATCCCAACGGCCAACCAATTCCCATACACTTTGGTTACAACCGAGGGGCCCCCTGGATGTAAACAAAGGCGGGACGACGCTGGTTGGTTCAATGATCCAATATGGCCACACCCTCTCACCATTTCCACACTCCTGTTGGGAAACTGAATGAGGCCGGGGATGACGTCTCTGGTTGCTAGGGCACAGGGGGTCGTTGGCCTCCTAGCATCCCAACCAGTCTTTATTTTCTGGGACCTACGGAAGTCTTCCTATCCAGGAACAAAAAAGAAAAGACTTGTTTGAGAAGGTGACGCGTGTGTAAGGACGAACAAATGTGTCTATTGTGCTGATGTTTCTCCTCTCTCTGCATGAGCATCTAGAATCCGTACATAAGAGAAATAAAATTTGCAAATTCCATTCGATAAGAAAAATTATTTTTATTTCTTCTGGAGGCCTAAAGATCAGGGGAGCGCTCAGCCACGTGTTTTCTGAGGTGTATATCAAGGTGTGCTTCTTCCCAGTGTGAGATCTCTGATGTACTGCAACATATCATCCATATAGAAGACATTTCCCGCACTCAGGACACTAATGCACCTCGAAGGTGGTGTGGGTTCCCTGATGTACGGCAAGCTATCATCCCTATAGAAGACATTTCCCGCACTCGGGACACTAATACACCTAGGAGGATGTGTGGGTTCTCTGATGTACGGCAACATATCATCCATATAGAAGACATTTCCCGAACTGGAGGCACTAATACACCTCGAGGGTTGTGTGAGATCTCTGATGTATGGCAACATTTCATCCCTATAGAAGACATTTCCCGCAATCAGGACACTAATACACCTCGAGGGTTGTGTGGGTTCTCTGATGTACGGCAACATATCATCCATATAGAAGACATTTCCCGCACTCGGGGCACTAATACACCTAAGAGGATGTGTGGGTTTTCTGATGCTGAGTAAGATAAGACTTCTGTGCAAAACATTTCCCGCACTCAGGGCAGGAATAAGGCTTCTCCCCAGTGTGAGATCTTTGATGTTTAACAAGTTCTGGTTTTCGTGGATAACACTTCCCGCACTCAGGGCAGGAAAATGGCTTTTGCCCCGTGTGACATACTTGATGTTCGGTAAGATTGGACTTTCGTGAAAAACATTTCCCACACTCTGAACAGGAAAATGGCTTTTCCCCCCCGTGTGAGATCTCTGATGTACAATAAGTTGGGACTTTCGTGAAAAACTTTTTCCGCACTCGGGACAAGAATACGGCTTTACACCCGAGTGCAATAGCTGATGGTTGGTAAGACTGGACTTCTGTGAAAAATATTTCCCGCACTCAGCGCAGCCAAATGGCTTCTCCCCCGTGTGAGATCTCTGATGTGCAACAAGGTCTGATTTCCATGGAAAACATTTCCCACACTCGGGACAGGGATAGGACTTGTCCTCTGTGTGGGATTTTTGATGTTTAACAAGCTCTGATTCATGTGGATAACATTTTCCGCACTCAATACAGCAAAACACCTTTTCCCGTCTGTGGTATATCTGATGTTTAGTAAGACTGCACTTTCGTGGAAAACATTTCCCGCACTCTGGACAGGAATGTGGCTTCTCCCCCGTGTGACATACCTGATGTATGGTAAGAGCAGACTTTTGTGAAAAACACTTCCCGCACTCTGGACAGGAATGCGGCTTCTCCCCCGTGTGACATACCTGATGAATGGTAAGAGTGGACTTTTGTGAAAAAGATTTACCGCACTCAGGACAGGAATACGGCCTCACACCCGCGTGCAATCTCAGATGTTTGTTAAGATTTGACGCCTGTGAAAAACACTTTGCGCACTCAGGACAGGAATACAGCTTTTCATCCATGTGAATTCTCAGATGTTTGGTAAGATAGTGCTTCTGTGAAAAACATTTCCTGCACTGGGGGCAGCAAAATGGCCTCTCCCCAGTGTGAGCTCTTTTGTGTACAACAAGCTCTGATTTCTGCGCAAAACATTTCCCGCACTCAGGGCAGGCATATGGCTTCTCACCTGTGTGATATCTCTGATGTCTAGCAAGATGGGCCTTCTGTAAAAAAACCTTTCCCGCACTCAGCGCAGGAGTAAAACTTCTCACCCGTGTGATATTTCTGATGGATGAAAAGACTGCTTTTACTTGAAAAACATTTCCCGCACTCAGAACAGCAATACGGCCTCTCCCCAGTGTGAGATCTTTTATGTATAATAAGTTCTGATTTCCGTGTATAACATTTCCCGCACTCCGTGCAGGAATATGGCTTTTCGCCCGTGTGTGATCTCTGATGTCGAGACAGATGGGCCTTCTGTGTAAAACATTTCTTGCACTCAGGGCAGGAAAATGGTTTCTCCCCCGTGTGAGACCTCATATGTACATCGAGAACTGATTTGTGCATAAAGCTTTTCCCGCACTCTGGGCAGGAATGCGGTTTCTCCTCTGCATGAGATCTCTGATGTTCAAGAAGACTTTGTTCTGAGTTCACAATTTCCCCGCATTCAGGACAGGAAAATTCCCATTTCCACAGAATCCCAGCCCCATCCCCCACAGTACGAGGTTTCTCAGAGTCAGAGGGATTCCATGGTCTCTCCACACTGGGAAGTCCACCATCCATAGTGGAGCTCATTGTCTTTTCTCTGGCACAATCTCCTGGGATGTCCTCATCTTCCATTTTACAACCTGGAGATAAAGTGAGACGATCCTTTGAGGGTTTCTCCATGGCGGGTCCTGGAAAAATAGAAAAACATCATCAATAGATAGGAGAGGGTTAGTTCACTTCCATCAAGATTCCATCTGGATCAGGGAGATAGGAGGGAGCAGATGTTCTCTGTGGATGTCCCAACCAGCTGGATCTCCCCTCTTCAAAAGGCCTTTGGTCCTCCCAGATCACTTCTACATTTACACCGCCTTGTCAGAGGAGCAGGAACCAATGGGGGTTGGGGGGGGCGGTAACAGAGCAGAGATAAGAGAAGAATATATTCTGGTCACCTGTGCTGATCTCTGTAGGAGTGTCCTCCTCTATGAATGTCCTCCTCATTCCAGCCTCCTCCGTATATTGCTGATCATCCCTCACATACGTCTCTTCTACTTCACCCTCAACTTTCATGTTCATCAGATCTTCACCCTAAACCAACAGAATGGCAGAAAATAACATCTGTAACATAGAAGGATTTATGATGTGAGATCACATAGAACATCTCATCTTGTAGAGTCCACACATCGTCTCCACATGTCAGAGGGTTCCATCACTTTATGTTCCCGACCCTTAACTCCACCTACCTGATGACCTGATGATGGTGAGGGATGGTGTGATCTTCCTGTGTGGAATCCTGGGAATACAGAGGATGGGGACATCTCTCTGGTGGGTTCCCATGACTGGATCCATCTACCTGATGATGGTGAGGGTTGGTGTGACCTTTCTGTGTGGAATCCTGGGAATACAGAGGACGGGGACATCTCTCTGGTGGGTTCCTGGTATTAGGTGGCTCCATGATACCATCACTATGTCCTTCAGAAAGCTCCTCCATCACTCTGATCTCCTCATCCTCCTCTTTAACAACAATATTATCTTCCATTGTGTTTCTATTCTGAATATAAAATGCAACATTTATTTTAACACATACACCTGTATAGAAATCAAAACTACTGATAATTGTTCCTCATCTACCTGATCATGTTCTGCATAGTTGTGACCTTCCTGTGTGGAATCCCGGGAATACAGAGGATGGAGACATCTCTTTGGTGGGTTCCTGTAGCTGGATGACTCCATCATGGTGTCCTGGTACAGATCTTTGTGTCCTTCTGGAATCTCTGACTCCTCCATCATCCCCATCCTCATCATCCTCCTCTGTTTTCTCTTCTTTAACCTCAACTTTAGACTCTCTCAGGTTTCCACTCTGAATATATAATAAAATGACATCAATGGTAACAATGCAGATAATGTACAGATCCTAATGATACTATCAGTGATTGTTCCTCATCTACCTGATGAAGGTGAGGGATGGTGTGACCTTCCTGTGTGGAATCTCGGGAATACAGAGGACGGGGACATCTCTCTGGTGGGTTCCCATGACTGGATCCATCTACCTGATAATGGTGAGGGATGGTGTGACATTCCTGTGTGGAATCCCGGGAATACAGAGGACGGGGACATCTCTCTGGTGGGTTCCCATATCTGGATCCATTTTCCATGATGATGTCACCATCCACACACATCCCACATGTCCCAAAATTCCCGGCACTGCTCACCTCTCCTGTCAGCAGCTCCATCATCTTCTTGGTGACTTCTAGAATCTTCTGCATGTTGTGTCTCTCAGGGTTTAGGGAGTCACATGGAGGCACTGTGATGGTCATATGATCACCTGACTTCAGAGGAGGAAATCTCTGTATTGGGGAACCAATAGGAATATCATGTTAGACTCCCAGAATCCTCCTCACCTCTCCGGTCAGGTCTGTGTTTTATTAATAGAGATGAGAGTGATGTCATGTGACCTCCCAGAATCCTCCTCACCTCTTCGGTCAGGTCTGTGTTTTGTTAATAGAGATGAGAGTGATGTCATGTGACCTCCCAGAATCCTCCTCACCTCTCCGGTCAGGTCTGTGTTTTCATGTTAATAGGGATGAGAGTAATGTCATGTGACCTCCCAGAATCCTCCTCACCTCTCCGGTCAGGTCTGTGTTTTATTAATAGAGATGAGAGTGATGTCATGTGACCTCCCAGAATCCTCCTCACCTCTCCAGTCAGGTCTGTGTTTTATTAATAGGGACCAGAGTGATGTCATGTGACCTCCCAGAATCCTCCTCACCTCTCCCGGTCAGCAGGTAGATGATCTCCAGGGTGAGGTTTAGTATCCTCTCAGTCATGTGACTCCGGTCCTCCTCCATCCTCATTGGTCATGTGATCTATACAGGTTTCCTGTAGACCAATAATTGATAACAGAGAATGATCCGGACTGTACTGGTTGTACAATATTAGGATGGGGGGGGAGGGGGGATAATATGAGGGTTTCTATCATGGAAGTGGGATTCCACACAGAGGAACATTCAGTTTTGGGTTTGCTTTGGTTTTGGGATCCGGGAGCCTCTCACCCTTTGTCCTACCAGATCAGAAATGTGATTTCCATTGCAGAGATTTGTCTTGATTAGTATATTTTGTCATAGTCTTTGATGTTGTGGCAAAGAAAGCCGACTAAAAAATCATTTTTGTTTAAACAGAACCTCCAACCCCCTCTTCCCCCTCACACTCAATAAGTAAGGACAGAAGGGTCTGCAGAGTCAGAGCCTTGCCCCCCGTCCTCCGCTGACCACCATTGCAATGCAAAAAAAATAAAAATGCATATTTTTGCTTTTTTTTACCAAATGTGTGCAATCATTTTTTTTTCCAAAAGGTGGAATTCTCCTTTAAATAATAGATTGGTCTGTGTGAACATTAGACTGAAAAGAGGGGAATTTAAAGGGCAAAGCAGGACAGAGAAATTTGGCCCCCAATCATGGAGAGTGAAGGGAGAAATGATCGAATACAATTTTATTACCTCCTCCTCCGCTGCCAGTTCCAGCAATGTCTCCTCTGGAATTCCTTCCAAATGGAACTTCCTGTTTGTATCTTACCTCACTTCCCACCTGTAGCTGGCTTCCCTTCCTGTCCGTATCTGACATCGATTCCTGTCTACCATAGAGACTTCCTGTCTTGGTAGAAGTGAGATCCCCACCTTGTGGAGCTCAGAGGAACTGCAGCCCCGAGAACCCTCTAGTAGTGTGACCCCGGCCTTGTGCTGGGTCTGTATGGACTGTATGTCCTCATAGAGGGGTCACCTCCACTCCCACCAAGGGGGACAGAAATATATGATGAAAACGTTAACGTTTACAGCACTTTACCATGGAATCCATACCCCTTTATCTAACCTGTCCATCCCAGGCACACAAAAATGCTGGGATTGTAGGCACAGTAGCTAGACACCCATGTACGACTGGCTTTAGTTCAAATCTAAGACAACAAAAAGGTAACCTGTAACGGAACCAGACCCCGTCTGCACTTGGGTACTTCTGTTATACTCCCGCTTCCCCGTCCGAACACCGACCATGGACACCAACCTTGAAGTAAAACCAGGAAATAGACTAGTTTATTTGCACACAGATACAAGATATATACACTCAGGGGACAATCCCCCCTCCCTGCATAATGACAGGGCGGGGCAATCTACATTTAGTAACAAGAGACACACAGGTATTCAAATTTCACACCAGCAGACAGTCCCATCAGGAGGGAGGGCTGCTGGAGACACCCCCCACTAAGCTAATACACATAAACACATACATCCCATAATAGTTTGCTCCCAAGCCAGACACACAATAGAACAATGGGATGCAACCACATGACACCAAACAT